TGGCCAATCACAGCACACCTTGCTTTTCAGGCCGATGAGCTTTGTAAAAATCGACGCGTTTCAGAAAGGCGGGGCATAGAGGAGAAACAATAATGTACAGTATGTGGAAAATAATGTGTTTTTTGAACCTTAAACCGCATAAACACATTTCATTACACCAAATACACCAAATAATGTTATTTTTAGCAACATCATATGACCCCTTTAACTAAAATTACCCTGTTTATATATAGTTTCTACTGTATATTACATGAATTATTATTTATTTATTTAATGCCATAAGCTGCATATAATATATAGATTTGTTAAGAAAGTATGCTACAGAAAAAAAAAACTCTTTATGGTCCTGAAAACAGGCTTCCTTTTGTGTAAGCAAAATATACTTCCTTATTTATTTATTTGATTTGGGGTGAAATATGAGCTGTAAACGTTCTTGACAAGTTTCAAGTCAAATGTGCGACATGAATATGTATGTGCGCACGTGATTATGCAAATACGAGCTGTACATACGCATTTAATTTGCCTCTGCAACCACATGATGTTCATTTTCTGTGGTGCGTGGTGAAGTTAATAGTCTAATATGCAGATTTGTGTTATTGTTTCCACAGTAACGGATAACATGCATATTAACAGCTTTGGTAATGATGCGAATGCCAAACTTTTAAAGTACAAGAGCATTTAATGAAACTAAAAACAGCAAACATGACTCATTCAGAAATCATTGTGATTATGACATCACAACCGTGAGCTCATTAACATATTTGACCCCAAGAGGTCAAGTCTTAAAGGTACAGCGGCCTGTTTAATGAATGGGTAGAAAGAAGGTGGAAAATGTTCATAAATCTCAATTACACTGGAAAAAAACTGATGTAGGATTTATTTTGAAACATTTTCACTCAGAAATTGCTACTGGATTTCACAATTAATTACCAAAAATGGCAAGTACCAGCGAATTAAACATGAAATTTTGACATAGTATTTGCTTATAAAACATTCTTCAATAATTATTTTAATTTCAACTCTGAAAATAAACTTTTTTACATTGTACGATTGTTTTGCTTCCTAAAAAACCTGACATTACGTAGAAATTGTGTGAGATAATGTGACTGAAATCCATTATGCCTTTATTTTAGGGTATAAAAACCATCTATATTTAAAAATCTGTGAGTTATATCATGTATAATGAATACATGCGCAGTGAAAAATAAGGCCAGAGAACTTTACAGCACACACGGCTGTCAAACAGCACTTTCAACCTACATCTACCAAAGAGAGCTGTAGAGGAGGAATGATAAAGCAGAAGCGAGGGAGGCAGAGAGCGATATTTGCATGCCACCTCCTGTTTTAGCCCGTCTAAATGAATGGTTACTATAGCAACATTTTCAGATGTGATTCTGTGAACCTGTGGCAGTTGACCCTGAAAAACGTATCCCAAAGAGTCTCGCAAGCTGCGTCCTTGACAATATCTAGTTTGTGAAATACAGACGAGCAAAAATAACATTGTTTAGCAGCTTGCAAATCACCATATGCTAATATCTCAGCCTACAAGGGCAGTTTTTGTGCTCTCGTTTTAGTTCAACAAGTAATGAGTACACATCTAACTACGTGTTAAATTAA